CAGCCTCACCCTTCCTGCTCAGGGCAAGGATGCTTTGTTCGCCTTTCATGACTGTGTTATCTGAATCACCCCTTCGGCTTTTTCCCTTGGGATTCACCTGAAGAGAAATGTCCCACTGCCATGGCATGGGAGAGGCTGGTGCCGCCTTGTAACGGCTACCCCAGCCCCGTGTTGCCTAAGCCCACACAAACCTCGTGTTGCCTGAGCCCACACAAACCCCCCAGCCGTCCCTAGGTGGTCTTCAAGCCGCCCTCTTATTGTCTCCAGGGCAGTATTTACCAGCAGAGACAAGGGCTGACGCCACCCCGAACCGTCCGTGTTGATGCCGCTGTGATGGGATGCTCTGTGTCTGGAGAGTTCCGGTTTGGCTGGAGCTGATCAGGTAGCACCATCACCTGGAACTGCCCAGGAGTAGACACCCCACCCTGGGCATCTGGGGTGCTCCAGCATCTCATTGCAGGTCTGGCTTGAGTCTGGCAACACCCTGGAGCTGGGAAGAGACACAGCTCATGGATCAACACCCACCAGTGGCAATAGGCACCAGAGGGGTGTGCCCATGAGGAGCCAGGCATTCCACGGACCCCCCAGAAAACCCAGGAGGGCTCAGGTGGAGCCCAGCTGTCCCTGTGCCCTGATCTCCAAGAGCCCAGCACTAAGGAGCACACACAGGGCTTGCAGGCATCTTCCAGCAAGCCTTGCCTCCTCCCACCCCTGAGATACCCCGGGATGTCAAACCGTGGGCTGAAGCATGGGTACAAGGGGGTGGTAGGGCTACAGGGAAGCAGACCCTCATCTCTGCACCCCGACGCGCTGCCCGCGCTGCCTGTCGTCAGTGGGAATAGCGAGGGCATCACACAGGCTGGGGGAACACCCCTGCCCACCCTGCTCAGGCAGTCCACCCGCATCCCGGCGGCAGCCACCCCGGAAGAGGCGAGAAGGTGGCTGACGGTAAGATGGGACGGTGCCCAGCTCCGCTCCGTGAGACATGAGGAAGGTGACAGCGGCAGCGACGCTCCGGTTAGTCACCACCGGGAAGCATGCCATGCCGGAGGCTGCTGGCAGCCAGGAGGTGGTTTTGGCCACCTGGTGTGTGTGTGGCCTTATTTTGATGAGGATGTCTAAGCTTTCTCCGAGGGGTGGTGTGGCTGGGCAGTGGGACCGCAGAGGAAGGAACAGGGAGAAACTGGGGGGGCTTGTCGGTGACAGTCCCCCAGGGTTTCCTGGCTGTAGGGCCAGGCTGTCCCCATAAGGACCAAGCTCCGTGTGGGGCCATGCGACTCAGGAGGCGGCTGCTGCAGGTGCCAAAACCGGGTACCTGTCACCTGCCAGGGGTGCAACCGTCAAGGTGACACGTGTCCAGGAGGTTTGGACCAAAGGTCCCAACGTTGATGTGGAGATGGGGTCCACCAACCCCTTTCCTGGCAGGGGGTGGGAGGAATCCGACAGCACTAACCCATCCCTGCCCAAACGACGGCTGAAGGGAGGCAGGGGAGGACATGGGAGCGGAGACGCAGCAGATGCGTTTCGTCACCCGGCCAAGGGGCGTGTGTGTGTTGGGGGAAGGGGTGGCTGGGCGTGTGGGTGCATTTATTGCCTCTTCCCGCCAGCACCAGCTCCCTGTGCACACACGGGTGGCAGGGACCCAAGGGCACAGCCCACAGCTCACTGGACTTTTACCTTGCTGTGCAAACAGGCAGGCGCCAGATTAGGGTATCAGTTGGAATTTCATCCTGTCAACGGCACCCGCAGCCTCCCTGGGCGGGTGGTGGAGCATCTTCCCTCCAGCCCAGCTCCTCACCCACCCACAGACACCCCAGCTCAGCCAGTGAATTTGGGAGATGCATGTTTTATCCCTCCCCCAGGACTCTGCTCCCCTTCAAGCTTCCCCCTTGAGCAAGACCTTGCAGGTGATGGTGATGCCCAGGGCTGGGCTGCCACCACCCCCTCCCCTGCCAGGGCAGGGGCCCACCGGCTCCCATTTGGCAATGGCAAAATTGGGTGTCAAAGGCAGGTGCAGCTCAGGGAGGGAGGAGGATGCATGTGGAGGGGCCAGCTCCCACTATGGGGACCACTCTGGAGTTTCCATGCAGAAGTGGACCCCAGTTGCCCCAGCCCGGCCCAGCTCTTTGGGCAAGTGGCCCTTCCAGTCCCATCCCTTTCCCCATATAGCACCATCTCTGTTTTCTTTCCCTCTCCAGGCTCGTTTTAGCTCCTGATGTCCCACATCCCCGTGCAGGGAGGCAGTGGCCCCATGCGACGAGCAGCCCAGCGCTGTGTGGGTGAGCATGGGGTCACCAGGGTGCAGTGGTAGGTGCAGCCGCTGTTGCAAGGTCAGGAAAAAAACCCCGTGCTCTGTCCCTCTCCCTGCAATGCCACCTCATCCTGCCGCTGCTCCTCCATCTCCTCCACCCACGAGGACTTTATCCCACATAGATGTCCCTCTGCAGACACCTGCCCTGCCCAGGCACCTCAACACACACGTCCCGGCCTCTTTCCAGGAAATGCTTGGCACATTTTGGGGTTGGAGGAGCCGTTTTGGGCTGGGATTCAAGGGCAGGACCCAGCTTGGTGCCCTGCAGGACACGGGGGATGTGTCTGGGATGGAGAGAGGAGAGTGTTGGGCACTGATGCCAGCTGTCCCAGGCATTATCTCACATCCTCATTCTCTGTTTGCTCTTCTTGGACAAGGAGGATATTCAGCCCGTCAACAGCCATAAAATGAGATTAGAAGCCAGGAGGCGCCAATGGGAGGTGGCCACGTCCGTGGGCAGCTGGCCTTGTTCTTTGGCCCCCACCAGCCCAAGCCCAGCCTCACCCCGGGCCGTTTGCAGCCATCCAGTCGCTCAGCATGGCCAACCCTCCTGCTGGCAAAGGCCATGCCACCCCAGCAGTGCCCCTGCGGGATGGGTACACCACAGGGTACAGGGACAAGGCTGCTGCATCAAGACATCCATCTGCATCGGTTTTGGTGGGACTGGGCAGGACCCCTTGCTCCTGAGGCATCAGTGTCACTGTGACCCCAGAGCTGACATCCCTCCCCTGCCGCAGCATCGTGGGCTGGGAGGGGACAGCAACAAACCCATGGCATGCGGGATTCCTGCTCGCTTTTATTTTCACCAATGCCTAAAAAATAAAAAGGAAAACCAGTTCTGCCTTATATACACAAAACCTGAGCCAAAGTCCTGAGCCAATGCAAACATTCGTCCTTGCCACCGAGCACAGCTGGCAGCGGTGGCCAAGGGAGTTGTCAGCGGCCCCCACAGCAGGGAGACCCAAATCCTATGAAAGCTGGAGCAGGGTGGCAGTGGGATGGCAGGGACTCGCTTGTAAAAGCCGCAGCGTGCCTGGACACCTTGTTTTCTGGGCCGTGAAGGGCAGGGAGTGGTGCAGCAGGGCAGCCGAGGGATGTGATGGACAAGTCAGGTGCGATGCAAGGGCTCGGCCGAGTGCTCTGCATGCAGTGGGGGACATATCTGCGGCTCCATCTTTCTGGAGTTCAGAGAAATGGTGCTGGGAAAAGCCGTGTGAGCTGCCTCGTGAGGCCTGTGCACCCTCATCCCTGTCTCGGTCTTGGGAAGCGGCAGCCCAGGAGCACCCAGTGCAGCCCCAGGCAGGAGCGACAGACCCCGCTGTGTCCCAGCCCTGCCTCTGGGGCATTGGAAACCCAGGCCAATACAGCAGTTAGGGCTCAGCAGGGTGAAGGGTCATTTTGGCTGCTGTTCACCAGTGGGAAAAGACAGGTATCAGTTACTGGCCTGGGGACACAGTGGACAAGAGGTGGTCCAGTGCATGGAGGAAGGGAGGAGACAGCAAAACCTAGAGTCCTTTGTGTTTTGAATAAAATAGTAAAAAAACACTTCTCCATCTTTCTGGAAGCTACCTCTCCATCACTTAACACCAGGGCACGCGCCAGCCCTTATTCTGCCTGAGACGGTCCCTGTCCGCCCCGGCAGGAGCTCCCAGTGCCCACCACGGCAGCACTCCCTTGGAGCAGCACCACAATGCTCTCCCAGTATCAGCCCTTTTGGATGGCCTGTGGCTGGTTCTTGCACCCCGTCCTGATGGCAAACCTTTTTGTTCTCCCCTTCCCCACTGGAAGGCGGTCTCAGGGCTCAGCACAGTGGTCCATCTCCAGCGCACCCGTGCCTGGTCCATCTCCAGCCCACCCGTCCCTCATTCTCCTCTCCTCTCCTCTCCTCTCCTCTCCTCTCCTCTCCTCTCCTCTCCCTTTCCATGGCACAGCCAGGGGCATTGGGACTGCCAGACGTACGTCTCCACGTGGCATTTTGTGGTGCAGGGGCAGAGCTGAGGACGCAGGACCTGGTGCTGCCGGGGTGGCTGGGGGACGTGGCTGGGGATGTGCAGGGACTCTTGCCGAGGGCATGCTCCAGCTCGCCACTACTGCAGTGGTTTGGAGGAGATCCCCCTTGGGTCCCACGGCCAAGCGTCCTGCCTGGCTCCTGCAGTCCAACTCGCTCTGCCTTCAGCACGTCTCTTCCCGGCATGGCAGATCCAGGAGACCAGCTCAGCAGAAATTTGCTTTGCCCTGAGCCCAGCCAGGTCTTTCTTCTAGTTCAGTCTTGTTTGAACTGCCCCAAAAGCACCAGGCAGACAGTTACCAGGAGGACCGAAAGAAGCATCCGACCAGCTCCACCTGAAGCACGGTAGGAAAGCCATCCTCCACTCCGCTCTCCCCCCCACCCCCTTCCCTCTGCTGACATTAGGACCTTGCTTTGGGCTACAAATACCAGAGATCAGACCGGTGCACGTTTCCTACAGGAGAGCAGTACTACCCAACCTATGGTTTTTATGTAGGAGAGAGCCAACCAGCCCCTTGGGAAGGTCCCGGAGCCACCTCGCCCAGCCTCGCTGGCTGCCCCACTGGTTCAGCCAGGGACCATGTGTCTTTGGGAAGGGTCTGTCGCTATTCAGAGCACACGGATCGGCTGCGCCCTGCTGCATAGTGCTTATCTCTTGGTGTCTATGGCTGGTGAAGGGCGTTAAGGCATGAATTCCTCCTTGATAGTCAGCGGAGATGAAGAGACGAGGTTCGGGGCGCTGCTGCTGCAGAGGCCTCCGATGGGTCCCGGCGTGCCGACGGCTGGTGGGGTTGGTGTTGTGGTGCTGGTGGGCTGGCTTTGCTGCTGCATCTTCTTTTTGTTCACCTTCCTCTCCTTCGCCCTCCGATTCTGAAACCAGATTTTCACCTGCAGAAAGACAAAGACAGTGATGCAGAGATGGGGAAAGATGCAGCCAAGGATGACAACTCTTGGGATCCCCCTGGGGCAGGAGGAGCATCCTGGAGTTTGGAAGAGATGCCAAGCAAGGTGGGACCACTGCTGCCTGCTTGGGCAGCAGCCCTTCTCCTCCCCAGCCCCATCTCCAGGTGGGACATGGTTTTTCCTGGGATACCACAGCACTGACCTGCCGTTCGGTGAGCCCCAGGGCAGTAGCCAGCTCAGCCTTGCGGCGGATGGTGATGTAGCGGCTGTAGTGAAATTCCTTCTCCAGCTCTAGGCGCTGGTGGTCCGTGTACACCACCCGGTACTTGTCTTTCGTCCTAGTCTTGCCTGGCAGAGAGAGCAGAGTGGGGGTGAGCCAAGAGGGGATGGAAAGGAGAGGTAGGAGCATCACCAAGGACATGGAGGAGCTACACAGCCACCCATGGAGAGCTCAGGAGAAACATGGCAGTGCCCTGAGGTCAGTGGAGAAAAGAGTTGTGAGGGTCCTACTGGATTTAATATCCAGCCTGGGGAACACCAGGGTGTTTGTCCATGTTGGAAAGCACCTGGGCATTGGAGAAATTGATGGCGGAAAGAGCAGGAGAGATTCAGAGGCATCCCAAGAAGATGGACTATAAATCCCACGTGCCATGACACACTGTCCCCGATGGGAGCAGAGCTGCAAGCCCTGCCGTGGGCTGAGGACAAGATGCCTGGAAAAATACAGCCTGTGAGGGCTGAGGGAAGTCCAAACCCAAGGTGCTATCATTCAAAGGCACATGGATCAGGACAGAGGAAAGAGGGAAAACCCAGGGATGACAGCATTTCTCTGCCACCAAAAGGGTTGTTTTCCTCCCCCCAATACGTAGCTCAGACAGAGGGCAACAGCTTCTCTGTTTGGTGCAGCCTCTAAAGATGCACTGAAGAAAGGTGCACAGGCACTCCCAGGGACTGAATCCATGGGACAGCCGTTGTTTGACCAAAGCCAGCCCAGATCTTGCCTTGGGGCCCCCCAGATACGGTCAGAGCTTGGGGCCATCGAACCCCACGTCTCCTCTGTGCACAAAGCAGGACCTGACACTTTCTAGCAGAAAAATACAGTAAAAAATAGTCCAGCTGCTTCTCTGTGAGCTCCTTGTTAAATCACAGGCACACAGAGCGAGCTGCAGGGCGAGAGCCAACGGCTTGAACTCTGCTGGGGCTGGGGGCTGCGGGGGTGGGAGGTGGCGTTCGAGGAAGGGTGCCCATGCCGGGCAGTTTGCTGATGAATCCCTGGTGCTTTCGCCTGCGGAAAAGCCCATGGGCGGGTAATAAACACAGCTGTGAATATCTGCTTCTCCACCCCAAATAACAAAATCCCGCTCCATGGCGTCTGGAGGGATGGGACTGGGCTTTCAGGTGAGCAGCCGCTGTCCTTCCGATTGGGAACCCGACCAGTTGCCTGGCAGACACGTTTGCCCATCTTCTCCTGAATTTCTGCTGCTGAAAGCAGTGCCACCATAGGAAGGGGCAGGAGCAAGCTCAGAACAGCTCCACGGATTTCCCCAGGGCTGTCCTGGGTGTACCAGCGTGGACAGGATACTGCCCATCACCGCTGCAGATGTGCAGGGAGGGATCTCTAGTGACCCAGCAACCTGTACAACCTCGCTTGCAGCCTGCTTCCCCAGGACAGGGGGTTTTGTGCACCTGCCGTCCTGTTCATCCAGTCCCCCAGTGAGTCTTTGGCACACCTGTCAGTTTGGGCCAAATCTGATCAACATTTAGACATCTCAGCAATATTATTAAATTCTGGCCATCCTAGTGGGAGCAGGAGTTTGGGTGGTGCGGAGCAAAACTCTGCTTCAGAGACTTGAGAGTGGGCTCAACCTAATGAGACATCGGAAAATCTCCACACAGCAAAACCCCAACCCCCCGGATCTGTTTCTCAACCAACTCAATTTGATTTTTAGGGGTGTCTCTCCTCTGCTTCCCCATTGCAAAGAGATTGGGACTTCCCTAAGCCACCTCTGCTGCTTAAAGATAAAAGAGCATCAGAGACAGGGCGACCCATGGCCAGAGTGGGAGTGGGGGTCCCCCGGGGTCCTTTCCCTCGCAGCATCACACGGGAGGCCAAAAGGCAGCTGGTTTTCTGCTAAAGACACAAAAAGCCAGCCAAGGTCCAGCTCGTGCCGTTGGCCACCGAGCAAACCACGTGTGGAATCTCGTGGGGGTGTGTGTGCACCCCTGCATGCACGTGGGAGACGGGGTGTCCATGGAGGGTATCTTGCCTTGCTGAGACTTGACCCCAGCACTCCCAGGCACAAACCCTGCTGCCCTGCCATTCAAGTCAGCACCCAGTTTCCATGGCTGTGTCACTCTTGGTGTCCTCCTGCCATTGCCCTGGGAAGTGGGGCTGGCACACGCGAGCAGGGTGATGCCAGGAGCTGGACGGGATGGCCAAGGGTCCCAGCGCCGTACCCAAGCGGGACCAAAGGGAGAGGGTAGGAGCATGGCAAGGCTGCAATACAGTCGTGAGTAGAAACCAAACTGCCCAGCACCAAGTCTGGGGTTTAGCCATCAGCTCCTATTTGAGGGATGTGATGGATTCAGCCACCCCTTCAGAGAGCGCGGAGCCCAGCTCATTCCAGGGCTGTTTGGAAGCGCACACCTAATCCCTCCTCACCATGGCCAAGACCGAACCTGCCTCTGCCCACACAGGGTGGCTGCAGGTAAAAACAGGGTGAAAAAGGTAATTTGAGCAAGATGTGTCTGGAGGTGTTTGCAGACTCACGGCTGAAGCACAGGAATTAAGTGCAAGAGGGATCTACAGCAGCATTCCTGGGAATCTGTCTCCTCTTTGGCACACACCAGAAACAAATCCGACCACGGCACAGTACAGGGCTGGAGCGACACCGGGCCCACGCAGGACCCCACGCTCTCCCCTCAGTCTCCCCCAGGACCCCTGCCCTTCCGTGGGGTCCTCTAGTCACCCCGCAGCTGAAGGGTTCCTTAGCATGAGGACTTCTGCCCCCCAGCCCAGGCGGGACCTGCGTGGAATCTGCAAACCCAACGATTCCCAGGGAGTCATAGAACAAACCTGAGGCGCCGGTGGAGATTTATGCGGGGTTTGGCAGCTCCGTGAGAAACCGGGCTCCAGGCTCGGGGACTCCTACAAGTGTTTTTTCTTTCTCATATAAATTTAACTTTTCATTTGAAAGCAAAAACCTTTCTGAAGAGATAATGACTTAAAAATGTTCTTATTTGCAAGAGTGCTATTTGAATGCCACTGCTTGGAGAAAAAACCAGCTGGAACGCAATGGAATTGACAGATAAAGTAAAAAAAAAAATTTAAGAATGAAGAAATAAGGC